CGAATTTGCGTCCACAATCAATCAGGCGATTTAAAATAGATCCAACAGTTTTTCAAAAACTTTATTGTAGTGGATCTTAGGCACAATTGTGTTGCAAAAGCAAAAAATGTTGTTCTTAAAACAATATTTAACAGTACACGGCAATGTGCAATCTCATTTGCAATGATAAATATCTGGTCGTTTGAAGACGATTTTTAAAAGTTTGTAATACATTTTTCTGCAAATTGATGGACGATCCGCATTTTTTGCACTTAAACTGCTTTAGTGTGTATAATTGTGTGTGTAGTTTAATTGGAAATTTAAAAGAAGGCGAAACTCGAACAGGCCTTTAGTACAGGAGCACCCTTAACCTAGTATTTGCAGTATCTGCAGCTTCTCCCTTGGTAATTTGTTGATTCATTGTTATCAGCGTTATAAAATAAACTGCACCGAACACAATAATAACACACTCAATAATTGATAAATGAAAATCACTGTCAGTTTAATAACGCAATGTGTATTTGAAATGTTTATCAGATCTACAGATGCGCTCGCACTAAGAGAAAAATGTCGAATTAAAAGTGCATTTGTGCGTCCGAAGCCTCAGGCGCGAAGAGGCCGGAGTGGTTCAAATCGGTTCACCCTCCCATAAAAAGTTATCACTTTAAAAATCTTTTACTAAACAGGAAAAACTTTATTAAAATCGGCCGATGCGTTGTGGAGCAATCAATAGAAAAAACTCTTGCATTGGTTGGATTTCCTCTGGGCTTCCGCCATGGCAACTCTGATGTTCCTTGTTGTAGGTTCTAATACTGAAGGGTAATTCGTAAAGCCACTTTTTGTAAATCATATTGTTGAAAATATTTATTTTGAATTGTTTCTGTGTAGTAGGTTTACCCAAAAGTGTACAATTATGTAACTTAATTACTATCGAATAAAATCAAATTTATTTGTTTCCAATTACATAGCTTAGCATTTATTGAAATCTGTTACGGGTAAGAAAGCAAATGAAAAACGGACATGAGCACCCTTAACCTAGTATTCGCAGTATCTGCAGCTTCTCCCTTGATAATTTGTTGATTCATTGTTGTCAGCGTTATAAAATAAACTGCACAGAACACAATAATATCACACTCAATAATTGATAAAACAAAATCACTGTCAGTTTAATAACGCAATGTGCATTTGAAAAGTTTATCAGATCTACAGATGCACCCGCACTAAGAGAAAAATGTCGAATTCAAAGTGCATATGTGCTATTGTAGGAGTTGTTGGAAGAGGC